GTCTGTCATAACTTTGAACAGCTGTTAAGTGACCAGTCATATCTCGAGGACTACCTGTAAATGCAGAGAGCAGCTGCATGGCCTTGGAAAAAGATGTAGGTGATTTAAGGATTTGCATAGATGTTATGTGAGTGTCCCTGAATGCCATGAAGTACCTTTTTAGCTTGGAAACAGTAAACAAGAACATGACATGAATTCTGCAACCAACTGGTACAATCTAGGACTGTCATCATCTTATTTACCTATTTAATTTTGCTCCAGACCTTTATGGACAGCAGAGTGGAGTGAGAAATTGTGGAGATGAGTGAATAGATTTAACCAACTCACCCAGGTAGGGAAAGAGTTTTTCTGATTACTTCCCCAATTAAGAGTTAGGGTTAGGGTTCATCAGACAGACACATCCTTGACCAATCCTTTTCCTACTGAGACAGTTCAATACGGTATTTGCCCCGAATATTGCAACATTTGCAATATTTACATAGGGAAGCACTCAAAAAGAGTAATTCCTTTGCTTACAGTCCAAAGTTAGGAGCTATTTTCTCATGTCATGGCTCTGCCATCAATAAATCTAACCTTTAAGGAATGGCCACAAGGTTTTTACAGCAGAGGACAAGGAGATTTCTTGATAAGAAGACTGTAGTTGGGAGGGATGAGCTGGAGCCCATACAACTACGAAAAAAGCCACTGAAATTGTCTATGAGGGAAGTGTTTCCAAACTAGTCAGGGAAAAGGGCTGCCTGAGCAGGTATCTAAAAAAACTGAAACAAACATCCTGGACATTGGCAAAATTGAAATGCTGTGGTATGTTTCTTTATCTCCCCCTCTCCATCTAACTTGAAGGAGTTCCTTCCTTCTTTCCCTAAATTATACTTCTTTGAACCCACACTCTGAAAGCAAAACTTTTTGGAACTAACCTACTCTTTATAAAAGAGTTGAGACAGCAGTACCACAAAGAAGTCTGTCCTGGGCTACATCACAACTTGCAATCTTCTAGATTTGTTGGACTTCTTCACCCAATCAGCAAAACCAACGTTGATAAGAAAGATGGAAGAAGCAGCCAACATACTGGGAAGACACCAGATTTAGGATGCTAAACAAGTTTAAATGTCTTACACAATTCTGGCTAATTAGCAACAGTGAAGAAAAATTTCTAGCAAAGCCACCAATATGGCTTACAAATGGCCCGCAAAAGGCACAAGCTCTCTTCCACCCAGAAAACCGTTCCACATACATAGAGTTACCTTGTTCTTTTTCCCATCTACTTCAAATACTGAGATTGGGCCTTTGCGGTAGATTTCATCCCCTGGAGGATGCTTCCAGACACATTTTGCCTATGAAGAATGATAGGCAAGCTTTACTGTGACAATTGTTTTAAAATATAACACCAAAGAGAAAAATATAATTTCTTTGGACTCAGAAGCAATAAGGTCTATTCTATTCAGAAAACAAAATGAAGCTGGTATTTGGTATCGGCTATTGACCAATGTGCGCTGCATAAGCTGTTTTAAAGTATTTCATCATATGAAATTAATTAAAAGAAAGCATGCATAGCTACAACTGTATAAACCATATTAGCATTACATGTAATAATAATTAAAACAAAATAAAGAAAAAAGGTGTATCTACAGTAAATTAAATACCTCTAATACCAACAACAAATTATAGAATTACATATAGAACAGGGGTGGGATTCAAATTTCTTAACACCCGGTTCTGTGGACGAGACTTAATTTATAGGCGTGGCTTGGTGGTCATGACTGGCTGGGCATGACCAACTCAATGTCACTCACATCAAGGGGTGCCTCGCCTGGCCCCTCCCTTCCCAGACATTCCTTGTCACACCCAGCCTCAACATATCTATAGTTCTGTAAAAATGTTGTTCACCTTTTTTGACTTTATTATCTATGTGCTATAGATATACTTTCATGGACCACTGAGAGGAGGAAATGGCTCATATGCTTTGCCCAAGAGTGTGATAGACAACAGGCTTT